CCCACCCCCTTTTTTGCTCGATCCCTTCATTAATTTCAATGTTACTTTCGTCTGTTGCAGACCCCGTTTCAGAGAAGCTCCCCGCCTCGCACGACCATCTCCCCCTCTCTCTCCCTGGCAGTAGGATCCGCACGGATTTCTAGGCCAGGACTGTGGAACAACGTACATAATATAGCTCCTGAATCTCTGTGTAGGCCTATGTCGTGTGTGTATGTGTGTGCGCACGCACTTCTCTACTCGTGTGTACGCGTACGTTTGTGTGTGTGTGTGTGCGTGTGATGTGTGTGCGTGTGTGAAATCTCGGTCCACTTCCCCCCTTTCATCGGCGGCACCAGCGGCCGTAACAACAGCAGCAGAGGCAGAAGCAGCGGTGTCGAGCGAGCATCGTCGTCGTTAACTCGTGAGGTCTTGACTCGGTGCCAGCCAGCCCGCGAGTCTGCCTGCCTGCTTGCCGGCCTGCCGGCGCGGCGCGGGCTCTCCACTGAGAAAACGGAGGGGAGGGGAGGGAGTCTGCAAGCTGTGGAGGGAAGAAGAAGAAGAACAGAACGTCGAGAAGGAAAAACAATTGAAAAGGTGAAGGAGCGTGGAGAAACGAAAGGGCAACAGAGGCAGCAGCCCAGCTGACGAAAAAAAGAAGAAACAGATGGAAGAATGAATTAATGTCGTTTTAGCTCAATAGACCTGCCCTTGGTTGTTCGCTCATGGCACAAATAATTAGTGAGTACGAAGGTCTGGTTTCGTGAGTGTGCTGTCCGTTATCCTTTTCCCTTCGTGTTGTGATTTTATGACAAGCGTCAGCGGTGTGTTGTGTTGGCAGCGTTTCTGTGTCAAGTGCGTGTACTGTATTTGTAGTTGCAGGCCTGTGTCTCGCTCACCGGTGTCTGCACCACGCTCAACATTTGCTGTGTTATGATGTCGTGTGAATGCACTTGAAAGTTTCCCGTCCTGTGTTCACGGAGTGTGTATCTGAGCGTGGATGTATAGGCCTATGCTTTAAAAAATGTCGTTTCGGTGATAAGCCCTGGTGGATACAGCAGTGTCCCGTGTTTCTCAACGACCACTTAATCTTTGCTGAAGGACTCAGCGAGCGCTGGTGTTGTTTTCTGTGACTTGAGTGGCCAGTTTTAGTTTTCCATTATTTACTTAATTCCAGTTGATTAAGATATAATAACTTAAATAAGAACGAGTATCCTCCGGGATAAGCTTTTTATAAAGGATATAACGACAAAGTAAAGTCCGGAAAAGAAGTTAATGGTATGTTGTGCTAATATAACTGTTCTATTTCTTATGTATCTTTAGAGTTTACAGAATGATGTGACATTTTTCTGACTGAATAGTGTGAAAAAGGAATTATCAGCAGTTTGAGTTGGCCTCAATCTGCGCGATATGGGAGGACTTCAGTTTTCAATTCTGTCATCATTCTGATGTCTCTGTTACACAAGTGACCTTGCGATTTATCTTAAAACCTTCCAAGAAGTGTCACGGAACTGGAATAACACACAGTTAAAAAAAAAAAAATTTTTCACGGACTTCATTTTGGAGATCAGATCTAAAGGTTGAACATATTTTTGTTTTGTTGTAGAGTTATAAGTTTATAAGTTTTTACTATTTTCCTTTCTGCGTTGGATATCTGATTGTGTTTGAGGTCTGAGGATTGTGTGTGATGGTGTGTGTCCGTTGCCACAAAAGTAAAACTGAGAACAACAAAACATGTTGGATGGACTAGCGGCTGTGTCACGGAGATAACTCGATTAAATATGGATACTCTCTTATCCTCCCATAGATGGCTTCTCACGGTGGTCGCCATCGTGCTTCTGGTAAGTGAACTTCTATGTTTGTTGGTCCTACTTTGTATATTATAAATTAAAAAGTAATCACATTCTGATTTGTGATCACTCTATTTTTGTTTCTATTGTTTTTTTGGGTCTGTTTTATTAGGTGTTTTTTTTTTAATTGGCTATATAATTTTCTTGCTTTTACAGTGTTTCAAGTTTGTACCTTCAATCTTGTTATTGTTTATGCTTGTTAAATTAGTTCGTTTTTGACGTACCCACCTCCTCGTCTCTGTTTTAGAAGTTTAAGCACGCATGATATATTAAGTGTAGTTGGTGACTGGTGGATGTTTATTTATCTGGTCTGTCCTTCTGTATCCCTACTATTTTTCTGTTCTTTTTTTCCGTATTCCAGCACATTGTGCACTCATCTCCTTGTTTTGTTTTTGTATTTTGTAAAACTCAAATTGTAGCCATCATTATGCAGTTTTGCCCTTTTTTGTTCTCTATAAAAACTCAAAGAAACTGTAGTTCATAGATGTCCTTTCCTGTAATGTTTTTTGTGTAAGAGATCTTTTTATGTTTTTATCCTTTTATTTCTTTTGACTTGTTTCTCTGTACACAAAATATACGCTTTTGTATTGTGATGACTTCCACTATATGTACTACAGAACTAAAACAGGATACGAATCTGATCTTGTGGGTGGTTGACAGGTCCTGTGCTCTGTGCTTCTTCTTTCCTATCAAACATCTATCATCCTTATCTCCCCTTCTTCTTTTTTATGTTTGTTACGTGGGTGGTTGGCGGGTGCTCTGGTGTGGTTTGCTCCTTCTTTCCTCTAAACAGCTATCGTCCTTATCTCTCCTCCTTCTTTTTTGTGTTTGTTACTCTCTTGTAACACCTCTAATCTTCGACACTTATATGACCTTATTGTGTTGCAAGTGCCGTAAAACTCTTTACTAAAACTAAAACTAAAACTATGTTTGTTACTCTCATGTAACGCCTCTAATCTTCTGGCGCTCATATGACCTTATGCAGTTTCGAGCGCCGAAAAACCTCTAATAAAACTAAAAACTAAACTAGAATCTGATCTTCCACTTTATTCTTTGTTGTAGTGGGTGATGTCAACTTACAGTACTAGACAAATGGATGCCAAGATTTTGGTAGTATATTTTGAGATACCTGTACGACTCAGTGACCTACTTTGTGTCTATAGGGATTATAACTTCAAGGGAAACATAAGTAGACCAAGCTTTACTGTATGATTCGTTAGCCACTCATTTTAGTACATCATTTTATGTACTTCGGCACGGGCTGATACTTCGCGCTTACTGTTTTCAAAACTTTATTTTTTTCAATTGCTCTTGCAATAAGGCTAGAGTATCCAGTCCACCTCCCCCTCCCTTTCTCTCTCTCTCTCTCTCTCTCTCTCTCTCT